GGGTGGGTGCCCAGCTTGGCTCACTGTCATTTGGGTGCAGAGTGAATGGAGAGGTGTAGACAGTGCCCCTCAGGTTCTGCTGTGCTCTCAGTAAATGCAGATCAGATGTCACTGGGGTGGGGAGCAGAGTGCATTTCTAGCCGGCTCCCTGGGGATGCCCAGGCTGCTGGACCTCTCAGCACAGACTGCTGATCGGCTAACAAGCCAGTTGGCACCCCTGTTTGCCAGTATCAGATGGACACATGCCCAGGCTAGATCACAGTTCTGGTCTGGGTCTGGTTTTTAGCTTTAATTTGACTTTGAGTTTCCCTTTATTTCCTTAGCCTACACGTTCTCAGGCATTAGCAGTTGTAACTTCTCTGTGGTGCAAAAGCCCAGTGTCAAACAGAGTTTCTTTTGTGTAATTTCTCATTCAACACACTATAACGAGCACCTCGTAAGTGCCGTTTCACACAACAGCTAGTGACGTGGACCCCGTCCCCCTCCCAGAGCTTACGGTCTGTGGGGGGAAAGACAAGGTCACAGGCAATTCAAAACCATGGGAAACGCAGGGTGTGATGGGATCCCAGAGGATCTAACGCAGCCTCGTGGGGGACGCCAGGTGAGCCCCGGAGAGGAAACTAAGCCTGAATTAGAGCATCCAGCTGGGACCCGGCTGGAGGGCAGCTCTCATCTAACCCATGGCTCCTTGTTCTCCCCCAGAGATACCAGGGTTCTTGTTTCAAGCACTTAAAAGGGCTTCCCATTTTCTCGAACTGGATGGATTAACCTGATAAAGCCCTCACTGAGGTCGACTAAATGAGCAGACACTGTATACACTAAGCCGTCAGGAATCTAATTGGTCTGTTTATTCTACAGTTAGATGGATGGGATGCAAATGTCTTAATGCCTGCTGGTGATAAATGCCTCCGCCTGAAGTCCCGGCCGTTTACATTAGCGCAGGCCGTGGGCTGCTTGCTTCTCACTAATGCAGCTCCGGAGGTTCTGGTGTTTACAATAGCTGCGAGGTTTTTGTATTTTTATAGGGATTCTCTCTCCTTTCATCTAACGTCGAAACGTACATAGACATGGCAGGGTTGGGTGCCTGTTCCGTTTTATGATCAAGAGGACCATTAACAGAGAGAGATCTCGCCCTCCCTCTGCCCAGGACATCCCGAGCTCCCCGCGACCCCAGTCTCACTTCCAGCAAACTTGCCCTAGAAACCGTTAGTTACAGAAACGCACGCCTCTGCGCAGCCCGCTGCGTCCAGCTGCGTGGAGCTTCCGCCAGCGGCTCCCCCTGGCCGACAGGTTCACCTCGGTGTTCGTGAAGGATCCCAGACCTTAGCCCTGGACGGTGGGAAAGCAGGGCCGCTTGTGCGCTCTCCTCTCCTTCATGGTGCTGCGGCCTTTATGTTTGAATTGGCTGACGCAAAACAAGAGTATTCAGAGATGCTAAATTGTTCAACAAAAGATTGGCTGGCAGGGCAAACCGTCATGGTGGACCGCCCGCCCCCGAAAACGCCCCAGCAGCCGCAGAATGGGCAGTGTTTTCTTTTCGGAAAGCTGCTTCCAGTGTTCTAAAAAAGGTTGCAGTTGGAGCTATTTGGTTAAAAACTGGAACTCACAGAATTCCGGGCAGAAAGTTGTGGTTAATGAAAGCGCAGGGAAAGCCTTACCTGATACGCTGGAGAGTTAATTAGAGATTCTGCTCTGAGATGCAGAAGCATTTCACAGTGGATTAGCTGCCTGCAGAAGGGCTGCTTTTCCTCCTGGGCTAAATTGTTTAAATTCTACACCCTTCACTTCATTTGTTTGCTTCTGCTGGGTTTTCATGAACGGGGCCCCTCTGCATTGTATTTGTGCTTTCAGTCTGCTCAGCCATTCAATTGACATTCCATATTTTTTGTGTTTGTGTAACACATTCATAAATAACATTACATGCCATGAGATTTCGGCAAATTAACAAACTAATTTTTTTTTCCTTTCCCTTCATGAATGAACACTTTGGGTTGTGGAATGTAGTCCCTAAAGTCATGAGGGTACAAAAAAAAAGAAGAACCTACTAATCTTGTGCTGAATTTGGACTGCAGTTTCATAAGAGCCTTTTCACCGGTGTGGGTTTCGTTAATTTCTGGCTCTGCCATTTGGGCGCGTGAAGGGTAGCTTGATTCACTTTGCCGTGGTAAACATTCCTGCTTCCCTTTTGTCTTCCAGGTATTTCTTTGCCGTCCTGGCAATCCTCACGGTCCTGGGTGTTCTCAACGGATTGGTTCTGCTGCCAGTCCTTTTGTCCTTCTTCGGACCCTATCCCGAGGTCAGTGACCGCGCCGGCGTGGTGTGCAGCCCACAGGCCGCCGGAGTGCCGACTTTCCTGGGGTCACTCTTAATCTGGCCGTTAGGTGTGCCCACATTTGCTGGTGGTGCACTTTTTCAGTAAACAGCTCAGTAACTATGGCTTTTTTCTCTTCAGTTTAATAGTTTGGGGGGTGCAGTGCTGGCTTGGTTTGGGGTTTTTTGTTTTTTTGAAACCTGGTGATTGGCAGCTGGAGTCTTTTAGGTCCTATCAATGAAGCATTTTCCACTCAAGATGAATTTCTGGGCTTGAACAAGAGGGGAAAGGGCACAGCCTGCCTTTCCAGTGTGCGAAAGCAGAGGGTAGTCCTTTTGCTCAGGCTGTCAGACTCGAGGGTCCTCAAAGAGGCAGGGATTGGGGGGGGGCAGTGAATACAGGGTAGTGTGGATGGCCAGGGGTGCCAAGTGGGCACAGAGACCCCTGAGTAATATTGTGCTTTGAACTCGGAGTGTAGGCACCAGGTAGACCGACGATCACACTTGAATGTGGTGTCCCCTTGCATAGGTGTCTCCAGCCAACGGGCTGAACCGGCTGCCCACCCCTTCCCCTGAGCCGCCCCCCAGCGTGGTCCGGTTTGCTGTGCCCCCCAGTCACGCGAACAACGGGTCTGATTCCTCCGACTCGGAGTACAGTTCTCAGACGACAGTGTCGGGCATCAGCGAGGAGCTTCGGCACTACGAGAGCCAGCAGGGAGCCGGGGGCCCTGCCCACCAAGTGATCGTGGAAGCCACCGAAAACCCTGTCTTCGCCCGCTCCACCGTAAGTCACGTCACCCTAGGGGGCAGCCCCTGCCTGCTTTGAACAGCAAATCACAGGATGC